ACATATTTTTATATAGTAGTTAGTTAGTAGGTTCTGATTCTTATTGTAGATATATAGTAAACATTACGATAAACTACCATTGCTTAGTCATTAGATACAGTGCCAATTAAATACTAGTTTTATATATTAGGCTACTTGCTATTTATACGGTGGACTGTTTTTTTTGTTTTGTTTTTTTGTTTTTTTGGATAGTAATACTTATTCATTAGGTGTTTGTAAAAGGACATATGTGCTACAGTGACTATAGAATAGTCATTTTAAAGTGAGCAGTGGGCTATGTATCGATTTGATAGTTTCTAGTTTTCAATTAATAAATACATCCACACTGAAAACAATGATTCAAAGGTGATTGCTTGGATTTACTGAATTTTTTTTTAAAGTTAAGTGGTTAACATTTTTTGGGCTGAATTAAAACAAATTAAGTTGAACATTACTACATTTTAATTTGTTTAATATTTCTATTCAATTGGTACTTGTATAAACTAGTAATTAATACAGACTTGTTTCAACAGGCAACAGTACTTAAAGAATATGCATATCCATTGTAAAATAAACAAAGTATCTAAAATATAAATACTAGCATTAAAAAAGTAACCATTGTTTATTAATTGAATGTAATAAAAGCTTGCCATGCAACCGGACTACTGGATGATGCTAATTCTAGGGATGCGAATTTCAGTTATCGGCCGGCAGGAGGCGATAGAGTTAATGAAGCTCCAGCCATTCATTTTACGCAGTTTGTAGATTTGCGTGAGGGGTGGGATCAGTTGCATGTAGTTGGTTTTCATTGTGGACGCTGTGAGTTAACAGATGAGCACTAATCTGGATCACGCAAAATCCAACATAAACAAAAACTACAGGATCAACAGGAGAAGAGAGACAACATAACGAGGAGTTAAAGGGGACTGACTGCTTGACATGGAGTGTCCACACATCTGCAATACAATACTTTTCATGAGGAGGATAAAACTGAGACTAACTTAGGATAGAAGTGATACTTTGTGGCTGTTTTATTCATGTTTTTTTACATCTAAAATATAATATATTTAATCATATTGTAATCTAGGGATCGGTTTAGAAAAGGATCGTTTTTTTTTTTTACTTTTTGAACTTTTGTGACAAAAGAAAACGCATGTGGAATGTGATCGCACGAACTGGATGTATTTTGGATTTATAAAGGGCGCCGGGAGGCAGAGAGTGAATTAAACGCAGAGCATCTGAATCCTGCATCTGGTCGACATTATAAAAGTTAAATATGGGGAATATTGAGAGTGTGGACGGGCAATCTGAGATGAAGCATCATATCATGCCCTTGAAAGTTCCTATGCCTGACCCAACAGAGCTGGAAGAAAGATTTGCTATAGTTTTGGTGAGTATGCATTATGTCTTACTATACAGTAGGCTATGTATTGTTTCTTTTAAAACATATTTGGAACTTTAAAAGGCTATGCACATTTAAAATATTAACATAATTTACATATGCACATTAAATTAAAAAAAATTCTTTAACAATGTTTCCTTCAACATAACCCTTTCTCACCAATGTATTCTTAAAGATACTGTTTGACACTCAAACTTCACAGTGATCAACAGATAAGCACAAATGAGCGAAAGAGACAGTGTTGACATTTCACTGATGTGTTCCGTATGTCAGAAGCGCGTTTGCTTTATGACTTTCTCAAATGTTTCCCCGCCACCCCCATTTTGTTAACTCGCACGCTGATCCTCAGCCCTTTTGTCTGTGAAGCATCACGATAAATGATGCGATATCAAGACACACAATTCACTTTACTGGACAGAAGTTTTGTTAGGCAAAATGAAACATACAGGCAAAGAATATGATTTTATGAGGGCTGGAATGTAACTCATCTCCTCATTGAGCGCAGCATTTTCTGAATTCCCCCAAAACTCCTACGAGCGAGAGATGTTGAAAGATCCGCCTCCTCTCTCGCTCTCTCCGCGTCTCTGTACCAGGCCTGATGTGAGTGGACTTTTATGTAAAATACAAACACACTTGCAAGATCGTCTGTCATGTAAATCTGAAATTATGAGGTCATCAGACGTGTTTATATACGGTAACTAGCATCATAACTTTTGGGAACATCGCCCACCCTGATCTGTCAAACAGTCAGATTTTTTTTTTTTACCAGCTGTTGATTTATTTGCATATTAATAACGCATTCATTCATTTTCCTTCAGCTTAGTCCCTTTTTCATCAGGGGACGCCACAGCAGAATGAAACGCCAACTATTCTGACACAAGTTTTTTTCTTCAGCGTATCCCTTACAAAAAATAGCTAACTGCAGTAAACTGAAGTTACCTTGCAGTAACAGCAGAACAACAGCAGTGTATAGAAATATAACTGCAGTAAAATTAAGTACAATTCCTAACTTGCAATACAATGACATAAACAGTTCAAATACAGTACAATTTCAACAGCAGTGTAAGTTGCAGTAAATTGGAGTAAACATTACTAAAATATTTTGTACTTTTTTCAGGGATGTTTTTTGGATTCAAGTCATTTTCTTATTGGAATTTTAGGAGTTTATTTGCAAAAACAAATAAAAAATGACTGCAGTGAACTAAACAGTACAACAGCAGTAGCCTATATTCAAGGATAACTGTGGCAAAATTGCAGTATAATAAGGTATAAACGTATAAACCCAGTTGAACTATGACGCAATAAAGTTCAACAGCAGTACAATCTGCAGTACAACTGAAGTAACATTAAATAAACCGAGAGGGGCAATATAGTTATATGTTAAAATTTATTGCACTTAAGTACATCAGTATTAAAAGTGCACTTTAGTTTTAATATATATTGCAAATATAGATGATTGTAGATGCCTTTCTGTAGTTAGTTATACTTCAGAAAAGTGCAATACAATATTGTGGTAGTACGTCAGCAATACAACTAAAGTACTGTAACCTCATTTGGAAACAATTGTCCACCAAGCAGGAAAAGTAGCAGTTGTACAGCAGTTGTATTGCAATAGTAATATGGCAGTTGTGCCGTAGTAGTATTTTTTAGTTGTATTACAGTAGATGTACTGCAGTTGGTTGTATTGTAGTACTTCAGTTGTATTGCAGTAATATTGTAAGATACTTAAACAATGCAGATTTTCGTGTCCAAAACACCTGCACAACAAAAACTCCAGTATTCCTTTAAAAAATGGCAGTATTTAAAAAAAAAAAAAAAACTGCAGTCATTTTTTGTAAAGGATGCCCCTTCAGCAACCCTGGGATCATTCATTCATTCATTCATTCATTCATTCATTCATTCATTCATTTATTCGTGTTTAAAAAACATTATATGGCTGGACAGACAGACAGACAGGAATTGAGGTTACTTGCATGCTGCTGCACAGTTGTTGTTTTGGGTGTTACTACATTACTAGATGTTTGCGCTGGTGTTACTTGGTGATTGTTCTGAATGATTGCTTTGGGGTTGCTAAACATTTGTTTGGATATTAAAGGGGGTTGGTAGGCAGTTGCTATGGTATGGTTGCTTGGGTGTTGTTAGATGTTCTGTTTCCTAGGTTTTTAGAACATTCTGGATGTTGTTATGGTATTTTTTGACAATTAGGGTAGAATTCCAGGTGTTCTAAGGTGTTACTCAAGTCATTGGTGACTGCAGCTGTACACACTGTGTGTACCTACAATGAGAGGGCATGAATTAATTCAGTTATTTATTTAATATTTTTATTACATAATTTAAATAGGTTTTGTCATTAACAGTGAAATTATTTTATTTAACAAACCAGTTCATGTTTTGGCACTGAAGCATATAGCGTATTTGTTTTGAAGCACTGTTAATCGTTCTTCTATTTTATCTAGTAGATAACTGACTCTATATATATATATATATATATATATATATATATATATATATATATATATATATATATATATATATATATATATAAGATATATTAAGATATATTAAGATATAAATTATACCAAACAAATTTTATTTCAAAAAGATTTTTTTTTTCAAGAAAAATATACAAATGATATTTTCCACTACTCAACTGTGCAGGTGGATGATTTGTTTTGCTCTGTGGAAAATAAAGATTTAATCAATGCTCCACTGTGATTGTTGTATCACAAACCTCTGTCAAATATTTCCAATTTTTTTAATATGTCATAATTTTAAAGATTACTCTTGAGGATCTGATTTGGTGCTGATGTGCTTTCATTTTCTCCGTCTCACACGCAGAAAGAACCCAGATAGCAAATTACATCTGGCCCAGATATGGCCCACATCCCCCATTTTCTTCTGGCCCACATACCGCGCGGAATGACGGCGATGACTCAACCTGATTGTGGCTGACATAAGGATCCAAAAGTCAGCCACAACTAAACCAGATCTGGGCCATATCTCAGAAAAAGCATGGTCCATATCTGGGCCAGATGTGGCCCATACATTTTCTCAGATCTGGCCCAGCTGCGGCCCATGCACATTCTCAAATCTGGCCCAGCTGTGGCCCATGCACTTTCTCAGATCTGGCCCACATGCAGCCCATGCAGTTTCTCAGATATGGCCCAGACGCGGCCCATGCAATTTACAGATCTGGCCCAGATCTGGTTCAGTTGCGGCTGACTTTTGGGTTAGATGTGGCTCACATCTACATTTGGTAGCTATATAAATCACATTGAAAGGAATGCTTAGTTTAAATTGCTTTATTTAAAAAAATGCTTTAAAGGAAGCATATAAATTGATAAATACAAATATATAATTTATATATAAATTATATAAATAGATGCATACAAAAAAAAAACATCAACAACAGATTGATCAATGCAATACAAATAAATATATGAATTAGATAAATAAATGCATACAGAATTATCACAAATTAAATGCAAATAAATATATATAAAAGTTAAAATTAGGTAAGTGGATATACAGAATAAGAAGAACATACAAACACAAATGTATATACAAATTAGATAAATAGATACAGAATAAACACAGAAAATATATATACATTATTTTATAAAATGCATATTAATTAAATTAACAAATATTTTATAACCATATAACCAGAACCAATAATTAAAAAGATATATAAAGGGCAATCCAAAAACAAGATCAGAGGCGAGGCAAGGGTCAAATAAACAAATGATAATTACAGAAACAAGATAAACAAGTATGAGTAGACAGAACAAACACAGAAATCGCATATTTAACAAAAACATATTACTTAAATAATTACAACTAAATATTTATTAGCATTTACCCAAAACCAAATAAATAAATAAATTAAATTAAATAAACTGAAAATCCAACAGGGCAGTCCAAGAGTGAGGTCAGGGTCGAGCAAGGGTCAAAGCCAAAAAAAAAAAAAAAAACAGTCCAATGCAAGACATCCTGAAAATAGGAGGACAACAATTAAAAGGTGCTGTTTGCAGAGTACATACAGGCACAACTCGATTAGACTTTTAAGCACTTTTTTAAGCACCTATTTTTATTTTTAAGACTGACAAGCAACGTATTGAACACCTGAAATGTATTCTCAGCAATACATAACAACATTCCATAGGAACTACCTATCGATTTATATAAAAAAATAATAATATTAATATTTCATAGTATTTAACCTATTTTAAATGTGCTTGTGAAATTATTGTTTTTTTATGTTTTCGTAGATGGAAAGAGAACTGAAAATTAAATTACATTAAATTAAAGGACTAGAAATACTATTACATTGCTAAAATAAAACCAATTTTAGTAAATAATACTAATACAGAGTAAAAGTACATGGTACTATTTTAGTTAGTTACATTTGAAAAAAAAAAATCGGATTTTCATTACGGACCTTTTTTAAGTGTAAACTTGTTTGAATGGTTTAATTGTTTAATTACAAGACTACATAAAAAGAAATTTGCACTAACAAAGGAAGTTTATTTTAAAGAAATATATTTTCAAGCTTAGGAAGGTTTTACTTATATGATGAAAAGATGTAAAAATGTAAAATGTAGCCTTTTATTTACACATTTTACACGTTTTTTCTTGTTTGCTCATTCTGTGTCTGCCTTTACAATCTGGCAAATTTGTTGCTTAAATAACTTTTATAGTACTTGGATTTTTTTTTACATAATTATAAACAAATGACTTTACAAAAATATATATTTTAAAAATAATAAAACAAATGACTTAATTTCATTTGAGGTATTTGAAATATTTTTTTACATTTTCTACATTTTTCAAAGCAGTGTTTTAAGAGCCTTATTGTTTATTTTGATAAATGTAATAACAGATTGCTTTGACCTGTAATGCCTGTACAATTTAGTGACGCTTTAAGACAGACTATGTATAAATCATACAAATACCTCATTCAAAAACGTTTCCAGCATACCAACCCCGTGACGTCAGACACAGCAATATTACAAGATGGGGGTGCCTTTGTGCTAAAAGCTTTAGTAAAACATGCCCTTTTCATCAAAATTGTTACATTAATCAAGTTTGGTTATTATATTTTTATTAAATCGGAAAGCAATTAACGAAATAATGTAAACTTGATTGACTGCATCACTTCTACTACAAGACACTGGGAAGAATTTTTGCTAGGAAGATCTGACACTCAAAGTTTACTCCATCAATTCATAGTCTGAAATCTTGGTAATTAGTGAAAGTACCTTTGAACTGACCGCAGATCTTGATGTAGTCTTTCTTGATCTGGTCTTCTCCATTTTCGATCCTTCCCTGGGTTCATCTTTACAAGGAACCTGCTGAATGGAAAAAAAATACTTAGTGATAAAACCTGGACTATATCATGCTCTAAAATGTTTGAAATAAAAGCAGCATAAAAGGACAAGCTAGTGGTGGAGGTTTGCTAGAAAAATCTGTGAGAGTGGATGTTGTGTGTGAGTCAGACTGAGACAGACTGTTGTATGAATGTGTGTTTTTGAGTGTATGAATGTGAGAATGCATTCACAAGAGTGTGTGTTAGTTTGAGGATTTTGCTATTTTAAATATTAGGGTCCAACAGAGTAATTTGTTTAGTTAAGTTGTTTAAAATTATTATCATTGATTAAATACTTGCCCATATATAGATGTAAAGAATAACCAAAAGAAATAATGTATTAAAATGTCATTATATTTTATATTCGATCTGCTAATCATTTGTTGTGAAATTTGAATGACTTCCATTCAGTATATGAATAAAATAAAATTAGAATAGGAATAAAACAATAGAACTCTATAAAAAAATACTTCCTATCAAAATAAAGCAGGTGCTTTTACCTTAAGGAACTTTATTAGTATGGTTCCCTGCTTCCAGTTAGTTCAACTTCAGATACCTCCATAATCTGTACTCTGGTGCTTCATTTGGTTCTTGACTTAAGAGTAACTGGTGTCGCATTCCCGGTCCATCACAATCTGAGCTAGAAGGACAATATGACAAAAGACAAGACAAATATGAATACACATAAAATACAGAATAAAACATTTAAAGATATAGTTTACTATTCTGCCACCATTTATTCATCCTCTACTTGTTTCAAAGCAGTTTGAATCTGTTCAACACTAAAGCAGATATTTTGAAGAATGTTAGAAACCTGTAACTATCGATATACATAGTAGGAAAAACTGGGTTTGTGTTCATTCATTTTCTTTTCAGCTTCATCCCTTTATTAATCTGGGGTCACCACAGTGGAATGAACAGCCAACTTATCCAGCATATGTTTTACGCAGCAGATACTCTTCCAGCTGCAAGACATCACTGGGAAAAACCCATACACTCTCATTTACACACATTCACTATGGACAATTTAGCTTACCCAATTCACCTGTACCGCATGTCTTGTGGGGGAAACTGGAGCACCCGGAGGAAACCCACGCCAACACGGGGAGAACATACAAACTTCACACAGAAATGCCAACTGACCCAGCCGAGGCTCGAACCAGAAACATTTTTGCTGGGAGGCAACAGAGCTATCCACTGTACCACCGCACCGTCTGAGTTTATGTTCAACAGAACAAAACAAAAATATTTTAAACCATGTGGAGGATAAAAGATGTCATTATTATGTCATTATTAGATTTTTAAATAAGCTATGATCTCACACAGTGATAAAATAGCACCAATAAATCTTGTAATATTTTAATAATAAATAAAACATAAAATATATTATTTCAGTTCCCAACAACCAGTCTGACATATACAAGTTACAAAATATGTACAATATTGTACCTGGTGTGCTTGATGATGAAGTCAAACAATTAGTAATGCACTGATGTGAGAGTTGTAATTTCCTTCAGCTTGCATGATTCCTTTCTTTTCTGTAACAAATTAATACAATACAATAAATTTATACAAATATTATTTTTACTTGCCACAAAACCATTTGTTTGGACTTGATACATATGTACAAGATTAATGGTGCAATTCAGTTTCCAGGCTGTTTTGAAGTAATATAAAACATAAGATATGGATTTTAAGCTTATTTAACACGATTGATTATATTTTTTAACAAGGTTTAATATTTCATAACACACTTAGCCTTCTTTTTAGCTAATTAATTTCCTTCATAAGTCATTTAACACATCATGTTTCAACTGTGGATTTTTTTTCAAACGTTTTGGCTTTAAAAAAATGTTTTAATGCAGACCAGTCTCAACAGTGGCCAGCATGAACCAGATAACGTTACTCTGCAAACTTTTGCTGAAACTTGATAAAACACACATTAACAAGCAAATCAAGATCATTAGGATTAACGTTACCAAAAAGAGACTGTTCGTTCAGTGTTAGAGCTAAATCCAGTACAAAGGCAGAACTCGGCACCTATTACAACTGTATAAAACGGACAGCATATGATTCATTCATTCAAGCTCCCGTTTCGACGCTGTTCTTCATATAACACGTCTTATTGATCATTTAATTGGGAATGACGAGCGATTAAAAGGACATTTGTTACTTAAATGAATTTGTTAAAACCCCGAGCACAATCAACTTAACAGATTACTGAACTGACGGCTGCCACCATTCTTAGCCGTTTTTAGCCATATTATCCACATATAAGTTACAGTTTTTTCACTATTCAAAACAGGGGCTTTTCTAACAAATAAAAACATTACCTGACGACAAATATCTCACAAATATGATTTTAAAATAATAACTTACCCGATATAAAGAAGAAGATGAAATGGCGGACTTGACTTCACTTCCTCGTTTGAAAAAAATAACCGTCATTCATGAGGCTCCGCCCACTCCACCGTAATGCAAGGATGAAGCGAAACACATATTCGCCACCAGGGGGCAGTTTATGATTATGTTTTTAAATAAATAAATATAAATAATATATATATATATATATATATATATATATTAGGGTAAGGGTAATTAGGCAAGTTATTTTATAACAATGATTTGTTCCGAAACTGTAGAAAAAATATATAGCTTAAAGGGGTTAATAATTTTGACCTTAAAACACTTTTTAAAAAAAATAAAAAACTGCTTTTATTCTAATCGAAGACTTTCTCCAGAAGAAAAAATATTATCAGACATACTGTCAACATGTCCTTGCTCTGTTATGTAACATGCTGTAATTCTAGAATATTTACTGTTATTTTTATTATTCAATAGCTTGTTATATAAAAACTAACACTTTAAGATATATTTACAATTAACTAATTGCTAATTAACATGCTTATTAATAGCATATTGTCTATAAAATTTGTGTACGCTGTTACAGGTGCACACACACAGAACCAGGATAGACTTTTGGGCCTTTCTATGTTGAGTTTGCATGTTGTTTCTGTTGGTTTCAAGTTTCTTCCATAGTGCAAAAATTTGCAGTATAAGGGAATTTTGGATAAACTAAATTTGCTGTAGTTTGTGATTAAGATAATGTGTGGTGTTTCCCAGCACTGAGGATTGTACCCTCAGGGCTGTGTTGCAGAAGCATTAGTATCTGATTGCAGACTTGCATATGCAAGCTGAGACATACAGTTTGACATGCAATGTCAGAAACAATGCACTCAAATAGGGCTAGTGACATCAAAGTGAGGGGTAGGGTTAGGAGCGGGGTTAGGTGTGCGCATTAAAATTGGTCAGATTTATTTTTATTATTTTTTGTGTTCTGTAGAATAAGTAAATAAAACTGTGTTGTTTACAAATATCAGCTTATTCACGAACACATTCATGTTATTCTTTCTACTGCTCAGTTCTCTGACATTTTTTTCTACATAGTTATTTTATTCATAAACAAAACATTTATGTCTATTTAATATTCAAATTAAATAAAAAAAGCACAATGTTGTATGTGGCATTTAATCAAACAAAATCATTGTAAAAATGTAGAATTGCAAAAAAATAACACCAAGAAAACAGCACTTTAATTCAGTATTATTAGATTATGAATTCATTTGTAAAATTGTTCATTAAAAAGTAGTACTGATAGCAAATTAAATCCACCCAGTAGGTGGCGGTAGGACACTGTCTTAATTCATTCAAATGGAGAAACTGAACAAAACATTAATGGATCAAAACATAATAAATGATGAAACTCATTGCATTTATAGACATTTATAGACATACCAGGTAATATGAAAAAAAATATTAATTTTACTCATGCTGGAACATTTACATATAACAGATAATATAAATTTATATTCATAGCAGCCTTAAAGTAAAAATAAATCCATTATTGAGGAAATAAACTGAATTAATACGTGATAAGGTTACAAACATATACTTTCCCAGATAAGCAATGGCTTATTCCTATTCTTAATAACCTAAAGAATCATTTTTAATCTCAAAAAGTCTTATTTAGAACATGCAATGTTATTATTTTCAGAGAAGGTGTAGCGCTCTCACTGCCTGATGAGGGACAATAATGTTAATAAAACACAGGAAACACAGAACTGCTGCTGCTTCACATCAGAGTCTGTGTAATGTTTGAGCAGCAAGCCCCTCCCACTCATTAGGTATGCAGTCCACAGGCAGAAGTAGCCGATCGGAAAAATGTAAATCCTTGCATTACATTACATTTATTTGCAATATTTATTTTCTACTTCATAAAACAAAAGTGTACAGACTTAGAAAGACAAATTAACTTTGATTTTCAATTTCTAATAATTTGTAACCACTTCAAAGGTTCCTGTTCATTTATAGTTAAACCGGAACTAAAAATACACAACTCGCACTACAACCGATGTGTCACACACGGGCCACATCTGGCCCACATACAGTAGGCCACAACTCACACTAGACCCGCTGTGTCACACACGGGCCACATCTGGGCCACATATGGCAGGCCACAACTCACACTACACCCGGTGTGTCACACACGGGCCACATCTGGCCCACATACAGTAGGCCACAACTCACACTAGACCCGCTGTGTCACACACGGGCCACATCTGGCCCACATATGGCAGGCCACAACTCACACTACACTCGGTGTGTCACACACGGGCCATATCTGGCCCACATACAGTAGGCCACAACTCACACTACACCCGGGGTGTCACAGACGGGCCACATCTGGCCCACATACTGCAGGCCAGAACTCACACTACACCCGGGGTGTCACACATGGGCCACATCTGGCCCACATACAGCAGGCCAGAACTCACATTATACCCGGGGTGTCACACACGGGCCACATCTGGCCCACATACAGCAGGCCAGAACTCACACTACACCCGGTGTGTCACACACGGGCCACATCTGGCCCACATACGGCAGGCCACAACTCACACTACACCCGGTGTGTCACACATGGGCCACATCTGGCCCACATACGGCAGGCCACAACTCACACTACACCCGGGGTGTCACACACGGGCCACATCTGGCCCACATACAGCAGGCCACAACTCACACTACACCCGGGGTGTCACACACGGGCCACATCTGGCCCACATACAGCAGGCCACAACTCACACTACACCCGGTGTGACACATATGGGCCAGATGTGGCCCATATGTCTCCTGCCATTGCCAGAAGTGAGCCATATGTGCCTTAGTTGGCCCAGATGTGGCCCAGAACTGTATGCTATCTGGGAATGTTCTTAAATAATGTAGCCTATGACAGCAAGCATCAGTGTTTCTTAAGATTGAAATAAGAATAAGGGATGATGGGGCAGAGTGGTGCTGGATATGTGCCTACATTGGAATAAAATCCTGCGTCCCTGACTGTAATGTTGATAGGTGATTGCATGACAATTGTTTTGATGTTATACTTATTTGATAGGCAGTAGTGATATGGTTGCTCAGGTGTTGTGAGGCAGTTGCTAGGCAGATAGAAGGCTATTCTTTAAGGTTATTTCTTAGATAGATAGATGGATTGAATTCCTCTGATGGAATAGGCATTTGCTTCTATACAGTTAATCTGGCTACTATGTTTTTTTAGGATGGATGGACGGATGGATTGATTGATTGATTTCATTCCCTGCATCCACTTACATAATGTTTTGATTTTATAGTTGATCAAAGAGTTGTAGTTTAACATCAAAGTGACCTCATTCTCTCCATACTGGACTGAGGATGGAAAGACTGACCATCCCAGGGTGGGTCCGAGGTCAGTTTCAGAGCCTCGTGGAGAGTCTTCTTTAGGTTCAGCCAGATTTCCTCTCACTTCTTTCAGTTTGTGGGAAAGCATAACATTCTGAGTAACATTTGAGTTTCAGTGCTGTTATCGGCTGACAGCATGGGCTGGGTTCTGTCTGTCCCACGCGGCAGATAAAGAAACATCAAAGTGTGTGTCCATCGCTCTGGAAAAGAGGTCTTTGGCATTACTGATTAGAGTCAAGTAGGTTAGATGTGTTTCTTCTATCTAAATGCTATTAAATCTGAATAGAACTACACTCACACAACGACACATGATTACTTGGGTGTGCATTATTTTTTATTAATTTAACAGACTAGAGTTAGCTATTATGCTTATACTATGATTACCAGACCTGAACCCATTTTTCAGATGTTGCTTTTAAAAACATTTGTCATGTTTTTGTTCTCATGACCAATTTATTACACATCACATCCAGAGCTATTTATTTATTTTAATTTGATTTTGGTTGTTGTAGGACTGCACAATACATAATTTCAGCACTGATATCTGCAAAAGTCGCATCGCAGGTTCTGCAATGTCAAGATGGGATTATAATAAACAAGGAACCACTGCTCTGAATAATAACTTACATTGATAGTCAAAATCATATTCAAATTTAATGCTGTCAAGACCTGCCTGCAAGCATTTTAGCACTGCGCTTGATTGAAAAATATTGGACACATTGGTTCATCAGCCAATCAGAATCAAGGATTTCAAAGGCCCCACTGTTTAATAAACATTTGAAAGAAACAATATCCCCTCACAGCCTCCTATTTATGCATGTTTCTATTGAAATACATCATGCAGTCAGTGATGTAACCCTTCCTTCCTTCACTTCCGCTCTTGATTTCCTCTGTGCATCTGTTTGTAGTGCACATTTAGCTCAGTTTGAGGTTGTGTCTGCTCGTACCATCTCTCCTCCCTCAGACAGACAGTGTATAATGATGTCATAGGTGAAGGCCATGCCAGCACAGTAAGATCCGTGCAATGATGGCTTTTACAGGAGCTCAGCACACATAGGGGGAGATGGATCAGGGGACGAGACCCTAGGGTTACATCACAAGGCTGCATGAGCTTCACTAATAAAAAGCTTAGGTTCAGGCCTAACCGAGCGCATGTGCCGTATGCATCATTTTGCTCTTTTTCCTTTTGTCTGGCTGATTCAGACTCTGCTCTTTGCGGCTGGAAACAGCTGCCTGACATTTTTCCCTCGTTTGCGAAAGGAAATTGCTTTGTAGAGCTGAAACTGTGGCCAGTTTCTCCAGCGGTGCCTGGAGAGATCAGGACGTTGGCTACTGGCTTTCTTGATGTTCTCAATCTGGACCACTGCATTGGTTTGCTTTGGTCGCGCAGCTTTCCAGCTTCAGACGGTTATGATTTTCTTTATTCAAATTGGCAACATCTTGATTGAGTTATGAATATATCAGGTTTCAGGAAGGCTTAAAGTGATAGTACACCCAAAATGTTTAATTCTGTCATCATTCATTTAGTCAGCCTCCTTGTGTTCCAAAACTGAGTTTGTTAAGTTTTGTGAAACACAAAAGGAGATGTTTTGAAGAATGTTGGGAAAAAAGTAGTGATTGTTTTCCATGTTTTCTTTGGTTTTTGCCACTAGCTATGGCTGTCACTAGTTGTTTAACCGATTACAAATCTCACGGTTCGGATCACATTAAGGTTTTTTAGTCTCGGATTGGACTATTTTTCATATCAGCCTAAAAGGGAGG